CTGAAAGGTGCCTGTTGGATTTGACAACTGGGTTACTGGTTTTGACCTTAAAAATAAAACAGCCAGTTATTTTACAGCAAAAATGGGTTTATTTGGGAATAGCAAAGGAATTGCAATTCAGAACAAGCAAGCTATAGCAAATGCCATAGGCAAGTCCAAAAAACAAAGAGGAATGTTATTTTATAGAAAAAAAGGAGGAAGTTGGGAGGGGATGTTTTGAATAAAAGTCCATTGGACAAAAGTGAGAGCTCAGGGTGATGACAGTTACTCATTGGCTGAATTGCTAGGATAGTAGATTTCTTCTAGGCATGCAATGTACACCTTTTCCCGTTGGGGCCTGTAATTGATGATTCTTTCCTGTTGATGAGTCTTCTGTTGGGGTCTATAATTGACAGTTCCTCCTGCAATTGACATCAGTATTACTGTGTGAGAGCTTCCCCTTTTGGCCTCCTGCCTCCATCTTAGTGAGGTTTCCCTTTATTAAGTTTCACACTGGAAACCTTGGCAAGAGCAGGTGCTAAGAAGCAGAATCCAGTTGGCCAGTGGATTAAGAAAAGAATGACATTTTTTTTCTTTTTTTTTTTTTCCTGTGGCAGGAGGGATCCTATTTCTCCCACCAGAGATTGAACCCTCACCCCCTGCAGTGGAAGCACCAAGTCTTAACTACTGGACTGCCAGGGAAGCCCCGAGAATTAGACCTTTCAAGGAGAGAAACTAGAATTTGGATGTTCCCAAAGATGCGGGCATCTCACTCCCTTGCTATGCATTTCCTCCTACTGTTGGAGAGTGCTGACTAATGGAAGGTCTTCCTTACAGAGGATCTCCTTAGAGAAGATCTCCCTCCAGCATTTTCTCTCAGCTCTAGTTCAGCCCTCCAGGTCCACACCAACCAAGTCTATTTGCCACTGCAGAGAACTGTCCAGATCTGCCACCCCTCCACCATTCCTCATATGCTCCAGACTCCCAGACTTGCCTTCAAGTCTGACTGTCTATGATGGATTCTCTTTTATTAAAACTGGGCTTGTTTTTTGGTAACATTGGTCTTTATTCCTTGTCCTATGAGGTTGATGACTTTTCAACTTTTTTTAAACCTCAACCTAGAATAAGAAATACACTTTATATTATGATAGGTGTATACATGTATGTATAACTGAAAGGAGATGCACTCTTATTTTCAATTCCATCTCATTCCGTTGCATTCTATGCTATTGTATTATGTGTTTTTAGAATAGCACACCCCATTAATTTCACAACTCATTAAACTGATTTAATGACTGATGATAGGACTGATAGAGCCACCATGCTAGGAGGGGCTCAAAGGAAAAGATGCTAAGTTTTTGTCTGAATCCACCCCCTCCCTCCCTCCCTCAGGCTCTCCACAATGGAGCCAGCAGGCCTTCCCTTTAATCATGTTTTTATGGTTCTAAGAGGAAAGAAAACTGCTTCAGTCACTAGGATGTTAGCCAGCCTTGAGGGGAGTGGTGTTTGAATTTCCAGAGTGACTCAATGACTCATAAAAGGAAGGTAAGCAGCTCTAATAGTGGAATTTAGAAATCAGTGGAGGAGAGACTGGCTTACCTTTCAAATCACACCACATGAGCTACTGTCCTGTACTTACTCATGAGACCACACCTACAGCCTGAGGCATTTTCATGACTAGAGGATGCCCTTAGGTGGCCCTACTACCACCTCTCACTAGACGCATTTTAAGTTTTCCAGAGTTTGGGAGTATGGCTACCTCTTCATATAGATCACCTAACCCCCACTCCAGCCAGACAGCTGTCTGGACTTGTGCTGCTCTGGTCTGTATGTCTTCTTCCGAATTCCCTCAGGTGGTTCCCCCCAACCTTGAGAACCATCGCCTCCTATAGAGCTTTCAGCAAAGAACATTTGGGTTTTTTTTTTTCCTTTACAAGAAAAGATGACTTATGTATTCTAATATTCTCATTCCCAATGTCTTTTCTACTCCTGCCCAGGAAAAGCAAGGATTTCTGAATTTACCGTGACTACAGATAGAAGGATGTTGCCTTAGGAATAGCAGAGGTCTTCTCTCAGCTGCTAAACAGTGCCCGCTGCTGCCATAGACACTTGGGTCCTCGAGAAATCTCCTGAAGGACTTGTCCATTGTGTACTTGCAATGAGCCAGGCCCTAGGCTGGGCCTTGGCTACAGCCTGGTGAGCAAAACTCTCTCCCTAGCCTCAAGCGCGCACACCCAGGAAAGATGAGTGAAGAACGGTGGGTCTCCCTCACTCCAGAAGAATTTGGCCAACTCCAGAAATACGCAGAATGTGAGTAAATGGATTGACGCATGTGGGGTGGGATTTCCTCTTGGTTGGGGAGAGCATTATTGGAGAGCAGTGTACTATAATCATTGCAAAGCACAGAGAATGAGATCCGCTTATACCTCCTTATAAAAATAGAATTTGTGTCTTTAAACATAAAACACAATTATCTTTATACTCTATAAAGGATACATGCTCACCCTAGAAATTTGGAATGTACAGGGAAGGAAAATAAAAAGTAGGTTAAAAATCACAGCTAAACTCTGTGAACATTTTGGACGCATCCTGTGCATACTGCTGTACGTGGTTGAGTTCCTGAATATACCTTTTTTCTTTTCAGTCTGCATTTTTCACCTAGTGTAATATTGTAAGAATTTTCCCAGGTCATCAAAACCTCTTTATAGCAGAACTTTCGAAGGGCTGCCGGCTGCTTGGTTACAATGTTACTCAGTCATTTGCTTTAATATACTCTTGTGTTTGGACCCAATGCCTTCTTTCAGCAAGATACAGAATTCTGATGGGTGTCTCTTTCTCGACTTTGCTGTGGGAAAACCTGGGCTTTTGCGTGGAGCTCTTGGTTTCACTAGTTGCACCCAGGAACAGTTTCAGTGCATCAAGCCACAGTGGTGGCAAGGCCCGCGGCCGTGCCCCCCGCAGGCCACTCCTAATCCTGACTGGTGACAGGAGTCTGCCCGGGCTGACCGCTGCACTCTGCACACACACAGTGCCCGTCATGGTTGTGCAATGGCACCGATTTTTGCAGAGCCCTTTGTCTGGCAGAGCCCTCAGCTGCACTGCCAACCCCATCTCATTGTTCTAACCCTCTCCCTTCACGTTGATCGTGCTGGTGCTTTTGTAAGTCACTAGGCCTGTAGCACATTTGACCTGCCCTACAGAGCGTGCCCAGGTGGTCCTCCGAATGCCCTGTAGGCAGCCTGCCCCCTCCCACAGGGGGGCCCCTCCACTGGCCTGGGAGCTGGGGGCCGGGCTCATGCCAGCTCTGGCTCTTGCTCTCTGTGATGTGACAGCCCTAATACCCACCCCACCCTTTAGTCCCCCATCCCCACGGCCGCACGCCCAGCCTCTGTGTCCTCTGAAAGGGTTGCACTAGATGATCTCTCCCCGTGATCCCTCCAGGCCTAACACCCCATGACTACACGTGCTCCCCCTGTAGGGCTACTGGTCTGTCTCTCCTTGGTGACCTGGAGCCCGTGGCCTCTTGTCTGACCACAGTAGGTTTAGGGAAACTGTGCAGTGTATTGACAGGGAGCAAGGAATCATCCTCCAGGGTAAACTCCATCTAATTCAGCCTACTCCCTAGGTCAGCAAAGTACCAGGCCCTGTCAGGGATGAAAAAGAAGCAGAGAGCTAAGGCTTCACCTGAGGAATCTGAATCTTGTTAGGGAGTCAGATATGCACTTGTGATACGAGCAGAGAACAGGCTTAAGACAGCGGGGAAACACCTCTGGCAGAGATGGCTAAACGGAGTGCACAAATGAGAAGGGAATTTAGAGCTGGGGGAAACTGATATGAGTGGCTTAGAACAACAGAAAGTCTCTCACAGTTCTGGAGGCCAGAAGTCCAAAATCAAGGTATTGGTAAGGTTGGTTCTTTCTGAGGGCTGTGAGGGAAGGATCTGTGCCAGACCTTTCTCCTTGGCTTACAGGTGACTGTCTTCTGTATCTTCCACATGGTATTCTCCCTGTGCACGTGTCTCAGTGTCCAAATGTCTGTTTTTATCAATATATGGGCACAGTCTTCTTTTTTTGTCCTTTTTAAATTTATTTGTTATTGAAGTATAGTTAATTTACAATGTTGTGTTAATTTCTGCTGTACAGAAAAATGACTCAGCTATGCACATATATACATTCTTTTTTGCATTCGTTTCCATTATGGTTTATCCCAGGATGCTGAATATAGTTCCCTGTGCTGTACAGCAGGACCTTGTTATTTATCATTCTATATAACAGTTTGTATCTACTAACCCCAAACTCCCAGTCCATCCCTCCCCCAACCCCCCTTCTCCTTGGCCACCGGAAGTCTGTTCTTAATGTCTGGACACAGTCATTTTGGATTGGACCCACCCTACTCCAGTAAGACCTCATCTTACCAATAATTAATTACCTCTGAAATGACCCTGTTTCCAAATAAGGTCACAGTCTGCAGCGCTGGGGAATTAGGACTTCAACGTATAAATTTGCAGGGGATACAACTTAACTCATAACAGAGGATTTAGCTGGATGAACTCTGTGGAGAAAAGAAGTTTAAAATATGAGTAGTAGATGGTGGGGGGAGGGATAGAAACTGTGGAAGCAAAGGTAAAGGAGCACAAAGGGCGAAGGTGTCTATGGGGTGGTAAGGAGAGCTTCTGAGCTAGATGGAGAGAAGTGGCAAGAGGGTGGAGAGGAGGACATGGGAGGGATATGGGTAGCCACAGGCCTTGGGCCCCGCATGTCAAGGCATGGCATTTGGACTGAGGTGGCAAAATGTAGAGCCATGAATCTGGTGGCTATGTGCAAGGTGGCCTGGATGAGGAAGCTGCCAGGGCAGGGAGGGCAGGCAGGTCCTTTGAATGAAATCTCGTTTGAGCTGAGGCACAGAGCTAAGATGGGGAATGTGGCAATGAACAAATGCTAATGTGTGGGAAATTGCTGTGGAAGTTCCTCACAACTTGTGGAACGAAAGGAAGCCAGCAAAGATACCTCAAAGCCTGAGAGTCTGTGGAAAGTGAGGACAGAGGGGTCCAAATGTGGCCAAGCAGTCAAGGAGGGAGGGGTGGAAAGAAATCCGAGTATTTGGTAGGAAATGGCTCCTCTGTGGTCTTTTTTTCCAACCGTAAGCTTTGTCCTTCTCGGACCCATCCTCATTTTGTCCGTGTCCCAGGACTGGATGAGGTGCTCCGGCACCATTTCTAACAGGAGAGGAAAAGAAGATACAATTCTTGGAAAATGATTAATCCTCAGAGGAAACCCTGAAAAAGGCACTTCTACCAGCTTTAGACGCATCCTGGCATTCAGTCAGATTGCATTGCCATAGCAACCACTCTTCCATAACCACAAAAACAGTAGCTTTACAGTAGCAAAATAACTGAAGTGTACAGCCTGAGAATTGAGAACTTTCTCCAGTGCAGTTCCGGGTGGGAGAGGCCAAGAATTTCAGGACAAGAGGCTTTTTGTATGTCCTGTTTAAATGTCATAAACCCTGCCACTTCTCTGGGGAGAAGCCATGTTCAAATACTCTCAGAGATAAAATATATATTTATTATATATATATATATAATCAACAGTAAACTTAATGTGAATTAAGACTGTAAAGTGCTTGTCAAAAGGATAATGTGACAATTTAAGAATTTTCTGTTACAAAATAAAAACAAGTGTAAAGTTTTTGAAAAGCGAAAAGATGAAATTAAAGACACTCATGATCCTATCTTCCAGTGAAAACCACAGCTAGTATGTTTGTGTATAAATATAAATATCAAACAACACATACACCTACACATATATACATATATATATATATTTAAAAAACAAACATGCTAGGCTATTTTGCGTGCTGTTTTCTTCACCCTAACAATATGTTTCAGTTATCTATCGCTATGTCCAAACAACTCCAAAACTTGATAGGTTGAAACAACCATTTTGGGGGCTTCCCTGGTGGCGCAGTGGTTGAGAGTCCGAGTCCACCTGCCGATGCAGCGGACACGGATGGGTTCGTGCCCTGGTCCGGGAAGATCCCACATACCGCGGAGCGGCTGGGCCCGTGAGCCATGGCCGCTGAGCCTGCGCGTCCAGAGCCTGTGCTCCGCAACGGGAGAGGCCACAACAGTGAGAGGCCCACGTACCACAAAAACAAAAACAACCATTTTGGTTTTGTTCCCATGGTTTTGTGGCTCGGGCACCCTGGACAGGGCCCAGCAGGATGACTAGTTCCTGCTCCACAGTGTTTGGGGCTGCAGGTGGGATGCCTCACATGACCCAGCATGGCCTATTCACTCACTCGCTGGTACCTCGGCGCTCCTCTCTGCAGCCTGTTCCTCCAAGTGCTTTCTCATCTCCCAGGGCCTCTCTGTGTGGCCTTTCTTGCCAGCAGGGCAACCTGGACTTAGTACACATGGCTCAGGGCTCCAAGAGCATAAAAGCAGCAGCAGGCCTTTTTAACACCTGAGCTTAGAGGTGCTAGAACATAACTCTCTCCACATTCCATTGGTCAAAGCAGTCACAGGCCTGGCCCAGATTTGATGGGGTGGAGGAATGGACTCCACATCTCATGGGACAGTGACTCACACAGCAGGGAGGAAGGTTGGCAGCAGCCATCTCTGGAGACTAGCTAGCACGCAATATGTCACGAGGTGTTCCCAAATCATCCAGTACTTTTCAGAAACATGGTTTTTAGTGGTTACAGAGATTTCTTTTGAGTACATGTACATTATTTTATCTAACCAAATCATTAATTGTGATCTTAGGATGTATTAATAGACTCATAGTTTCTAGTAAGGCAAACCGATATCCACCTTCTATCCTACCCTGATCAGACCTTTCTAGAGAACTGAATTTATTTCTGGGCACCACAGTTTCCAGTGGATATGGACAAACCAGAACTTGTTTGAGAAGTGCCAGCAGCATGGTGAGGGGCCTCACAGCCTGGGTATGAAAAAATGGATGAAAATACTATGCATATTTTCTGGAAAGGGGAAGACTCAGGGAAGGGTGAGAGAGAGCTAGCTGTATTAAAATAGGTACAGTGCTCTTTTGGGGAGAAGGTGTAAAATTAATTTCGAATGGCTTCAAGAAGTAGCCCTAGGACTAATGGGAGGAAAGCATCAGAAGAAAGACTTTAAAGTAAGGAATACTAATGGTATTAGTATTAGTAATGATTCCTAACGGTCAAACCTGTCCAAGATGGAACAGAATGGACCCCAAAGTGACTGAGTTTCCTTTCCTTAGAACTGTCTGGGCAGAGTTGGCTGAGACACTAGAGGGGAGGTTAGAGCATCAGATGTCTGGTTG